CCTGACATTTCACAGTATAGTTCCTTAGTCGCCTTTCCTAATCTGTTTTTTGAGTTGCTTAATTTATGTCAGAAGTTTAAAGCCTATTAAGTTAATAATAAGTTAATTATCCTTTTGTGCAGGAAGAATAGATTTTTCACTATTTTTGTGCCTTTACATGGTGCCACAAAGGTTATGGCATATCAGCCTGTACTTACACACCACAAATGTAGAGTCAGGTAGCATTAGTTCAAGCTCCCAGTCCCTGGGAATTGGTGTCAGTGTGCCCCAGTTTGACCAGAACGGAGTTTCCTGTGGGAGCAGATGGATGGGGTGGCTGCTTCTGTCAACAAAGGCGTCATTGGTGGTGGGTTGGTCTCATTCCAAGTCTCACTGCTGTAATCTTAATTCATTTAAGCCACTAATCATGACATTTGTTTTGGCCTGGGCTGCTTTCAACTGAAATTGTGGAGCTGCCTGTGTTTTCTCAGACATTTCAAGTATATGTGTAATACAGATATGGTGAGCACCCCAAGTACTGCTGCTGGATGAGTTGCATTGGGTTTTGGAAAGTTACAAGTTCATGTAAGTCTTGCTATCCCAGCAGGCTGATGCTTGTAGTGTGTTGCTTTACATGACAGAAGGGGAGTTCAGTGCAGCTCCTAACCTTAGTGGGAACAATTCTTTGATTAGCATTCCCCATAGTGCGTTCTGTCTCTGTGTATTGCTGATGCACAGATCCAAACTCAGGCACCCAGCAAAAGCTGAGGGTTCAGGGGAGTCCCTGAGTGCTCCCAGTGCTCTGTGCACCAGGGCCAAAGAAACTCCCAGGACATGGGAATCATCCACCATGGATGTTGCTGTCCCCACACAAACACTTCTGATGTAAGGTGTCACAGGGAACGCATCAGGGAGATCAAGTATAACAAATATGATATAAAACCCTTTATAAGACTCACACCAGAATCCGATGTGTCTGGAAGGGTTGAGTAAACTGAAACAGCAGTGACCTGTCCTGAGCTGCAGAGTGAACTGGTGGTGAATGGGGTAGAGGCCAGTGTTCCTCACATCCACCCACAGCTGGGAGAAGGGGCAAGGGAAGGAAAGTACCAGTCAGACACACCTTCAGCTGTGACAATATTTTAAGTCATGATGGATTTTAAACTGTGTTTCTTATGCACCTTAAATACTTCAATGGGAAACTTAGAGTTGTAAGTCAGTGGTGAGTGTAGACTGAGATATACATTCATATACACACATACATATGAAGAACTATATATGTAAACTTGTAACAGATCTCTTTTCTGAATCACAAATCTTCAGTGATTGGGAACTCTGAGTTCTGAATTTTCCTAAGCAATCTCTGCCTGTCAGCTCCCCTCCTCTCTGCAGAACAGTTGCTCATTTACCAGTTTGGCTTGTTTTGCCTGGAAACAAACTGGATTCTAGTCCTGTGCTTGGGCAGGTATATGGTAGTTTGACATTGATTGGGATTTGGGGAAAGAAACTAAAACCACTGTAAGGTATGAACACTTATTTTGTTCTTGGTACATCTCTGAGGCAGTTCTGCCAGTTGTGACAAAAGAAGATTTAAGGGCAGTGTTTGAGGAGTGGAGGTCCTCATTAAAAAATATTCCTTTAAAAAAAGAAAAAGCTGACAACTTTTCCTCTAACCATTGCTGGAGGAAAGAGGGAGTTAAGAATTTTAAGTTCCATAATAAAAGTAGTGGAAATATTTGTGGGAACAGTTCACTGGCATGGCAGAAAATAATTAAACCATTTTAGTACTGAGTTTTCTCTGTTGTAGAAAAAATAAATTTTGGGTTGGAGGTTGTGAAGAACCTGCTGGTTCCTGGAAAACCACAAGGGGCAATCTAGAGAGGATGGGAAGTTATTTCAGCAGAGATAGAGGAGCCGTTCAGACCTGTAAGATGACGTATTTCCACAAAGGGCGTTCTTTTCAGTCTGCTGATGAAAAGTCTTGCGGGTTTCCCAGCAGTAGAAGCTGCTTAATTGCATTTTGTGTATGCTCTTAGAATACCTGTTTGGTGAGAACCTGACAAATGGTCTTCTGAAAGTAAATCAATTTTGTTTTCTTGGGCTTTCTTGAATATACATGATGTCCGGAGCCTGAAAAGCACAGCAGTGGCACAAGAGGAAGCAAACAGTGGGGCGCCAGTTAGGCTCTATGGTTCTCTGAAAGACTTTGTAGCCTCCTATAAAGAGAAAGAAGAATGTGCCATTGGCGGTAGTGAGTAAATGGAACCTTCTTGTCTTCTTTGCTCTTGTCTCCTTATAAATAAACCATTGTTGTCCATCCTTGGCATTTGCAGTTCATTGTGATAAATTGGTCTTGATGTGTCTGACATTTCAACCAAGTCTTTTAATTGTGCTTTTCTGAAAAGGCAGATCTTGCTATAACTCGAATTGGTCCAGAATGCATCCAGGGTAAGAGCTCTCACCATCACACACAGCACTAACCCTTTCCTTTCTGGCTGCACAAAGAGGGAAGGAGGAAGTAAAACATTTTGGTCACGTCAGCCCAAGAGGCCTGGGTTTGTGTAAGCCATGCACAGAAACAGAAATGTTAAGTCTGGGCTGCAGTTGCTGAAAGCCTCCCTGATAGTGTGGACAACAACATGGGTTCAACTTGCATCTGCAGCCTCTTGAAGGAGAGGGGAGGAAAACACCCAACTTGCTGGAAATGCAGGTGTGTTTTCACCAAAGTTTTGCTTTGAGTTTTGTGCAAGATCCCCTCTCTGTTACCTGCCGGTGCTTACAAGTCATTGGCTTCCATGCAACGGTTGCTTGGGTGCAGAAACCACTGGAACAGAGAGATTTGATGAACTGTGACCAACAGCAGCTTCTCTTGCTGCATCCCTGAAAGTTCAAGCTTTGATTTACATATTTTAATGTCTGTAATTATTCTGCCAGGAAGATGATTAACATATCAACTATTTCCATAAATAGGAGCCTTCTGTTCTTACCTTTCCAAACCCTTCAGCTTCCCAAAGCTATTAAGCATCTGCCCACAGCAGCCAAGCAAAAGTAATGCCCACACTTTAAACTGTGGCCAATAAGTAACCTTTTTGCTGGTTAATGATCCAACTGTGTGATGATAGTATTTTAAGATTATATTTCACCTTCTTTAAAACCAGGTGTGTGGAACATGTTCTCACCTGTCTTAACCCACTTGGTTCTCAATGGAGAATTACAGTGAGGATGAAAGACCTGCTCCTACTTGGCATCTAAACCAATTCTCCTTTCCATCACAATTGCCAAGAAGAGCTAGAACAATTTTTGGGGGCTATGGACAAATAATCTGATTAATGAAGGTCTCAGTGACATTTTTGGTATCCCAGTTTCCCCAGTATGCCAGTCCAATCCAGACATTTCTGCAGTTGGGCAGTACAAAACCTGTGGCTTAGAGGGACAGGGACACAGGACTTGGCATGAGTTGGCAGATACACTGATCTTGTGGGGTCTTGCTGGGGAGCCTTTCCAATGTTTTCTATTACTGATTTGCTGGAAAAATGATCCCAAAGCCTAAGTAAGGATCCCATTTTTCCTCCTCCCTGTAATCATGCAACATTCATAAATGTTATTTAGGTATGCAGTGAGCAAATTTCAACAGAAATGCTGTCATGCCTCAGGGTTATAAAACTTCATTACATCTGTTATTAACTGTCTGTCTGTGGCAGGACCTAATTTTTCTTGATGTATTGGTTGCCCACAGCTTCTCGAAACTGCTTCTTATAACACTTCAAGGCGCTAAGACAGAGAAATCCAGGGATTAAATGGCACTGCTCTCCAAGTGGCTGATTGATGCTTTGGGGCTATAAGATGCCCTTTCACAGCCTCCTTGTGTAGGTGGAAGGGGAGATATAATTTCCATCCTCTCTTGCTGAGCACTCGGGAAGCTGATTGACTTTGTGTAAATACCTTTACCAGAGCAGGTTAATGTGAAGGTTTTCATTTAGAATTTAGGTTTCTCCCTGCTCAGTAGACCTGCAGCCATACACAGCATTATTATCATTAATACCAATGGAAGAACTATTTGAATATATGTAATTTTTTGAAGAGAGAAATTGGTCTGTTTAATAAGCAAATCCTGCCAAACTGGATGATGATTCCAGAATGCTAAACAATTGTTTTAATTGTGGAACATTTTGCATTTCAGCAGCCTTGTCACAATAAATGTAGATCTGTTGCTCTTTACACTAGTATGAAAAAAAAAAAAGGAATTTTAGCAATGCTAACTAGTTATGAGAGAATGAGTTTCACAGCTTACTTGGTTCCAGATAAATCTGGCAGATTCTTTTTCATAGTTGTGTTCTTGCCTGTACTGGGGTTTTTGCTTCTGCAGGTGCTCCTGTGTCTCCATGTCTGACATCACAGTTGCCTTCAATTTACACAGTTACAGCTCAATTTGTTAAATATCTGCAAGTTCCTGCTTGTCCTTGCTGCTTTTTATCCTCAGCTTTGCTGACCACAATCTGCCCAGATCATTTACGTTTAGGAATTGCCTTGCCAAGCATAGACTGAAATGAGGGAATTTGTTTTTCCTGGTGGTTTGTGCAGAGGTGTTGTGCTATGTGCAGGGGGCAATGACTGAACAGCTCCAGCTCAGTGTGTTGGGCAGGGAGGCAGAGCTGGTGCTGCACTGAGCATCCCCCCCTGTAACCAGCCCCAAGTTCTCAACTGGAATCCCTATTGGTCTGTTGAAACAATTTTCTCAGTTCATTTTGGTTGAGTTAAGCTCAAAACTAAGAGTGAGGGGTGTTGTTTGTTTTATTTACATGCTCCTGGAAGGGGCTGGCTGGGACAGGCACAGGCTGGAGGGACAGGAAGGGCTTCGTTCCCTGATAGAAGAGGCAGCAAGTTGACATGGGGTTTCATTCCAATATGTCTCAGGATCAAGCCATTCAAAGCAAAAGCAACTTTAACAGCATAACAGTGTTAGAAATATTTAGAAATACGTTTAACTTCTGGTTTTTTCTTTTTTTTTTTTTTTCTTCCAGCCAAACAAGTGTGTCCATCTGAAAAAATTAGCTGTGGAGACTTAAGCAACAAGTGCATCCCGTTGTCCTGGAGATGTGATGGGCAGAAGGATTGTGAAAGTGGAATTGATGAGGCTGGTTGCACTCCTGGTGAGTTAATACAGATGCAACATCTCCATTTAGGACTATAAAAGTCCTGGAGTGACTGTTACAAATTGCATGGAAAGGGATGACTTTTCCTGCCAACAAATTTATTCACTCTTCCTTGCAGTGCTAAGTGGTGACTTTTAGAGAGGAAAGAAGGATTCTCCAGTTGGGACTGGCTGGATAATGCATGAACTCCATGAAGAATTAGGTATTATTATTAGGGTTAACACCCAGGTGATATGGAAAGGACTTAAATAAGGTTCAAACCTTCCTTTGTGGTAGCTCAGCAGGTTCCTGCTGTGTCCTTGTCCCTGCATAGTGGGGACAGACTCAGGCTGGCTTCTGCTGGGGTAGAATAGATAGGCCTGGACATTGACAGCTTGTTGGTTTCACTGGACAGGGAGAGAATGATGTACTCTGTACCCATAACTGTTTTAAATTCAGTCCCTAAATGGCCACTGCCTTTCACTAGGCCTTTCTGTGCTGAATGAAAGAGCCCTTTAACAGTGTTTTCAGTCTGTGAAAACTCCTACAGTGTGATCAAACCATTTCTCAGGCTGCCTTTTTGATAGACCAAATATATTAGTTCTTTATGCTTCTTGATGTCAAATATTCTCTTTTGAATCAATACTTGACTCATTCTTGTGGCTTCTTTTGATATTCCAGTTGGTTTTCCACTTTCTTTTTGCACAGACCAGCAGAATATAGGGAACATCAATCTTGCCAGTCTCTGCAGAAGTAAAATCACCTTTCTAGTACCATTCTTATTAAATTCTTTCTATGCAAATGATTCCAGGCTTTTAAGAAGTTCTGTAAGTTTTGTGTATTCACTCATCCCTCAATATTCCTAGTGTTGCATGTGCTATCAGCAATGTTATTTTTACTTCCAGGTTACTGGTAAAAGGGTTGAATGAATACATTCAAGCACAAACTGAAATTCCTTCATTTGAAAACTGGATTTTGGGCTCTAATTCCCACCCAGTTCAAAGTCCACATTATATCTTTTCTTTGGAGCTGTATAATGAAATATGTTTTACATAAACATTTTGTGGCTCTGAGTGAAGTGCTGTGGATGAATTTATTTCTTTGCAGTCAGCTTTATCAAACAAAATATTATCAAAGCTTTTATTTTGTGAGCAACTTGTTCCACTATTTAGCTCTCTTTCTAAAAGTATTTTTTCTTAGTCAATTTTCTTTTTCCTTTTATTTTTCTTTTTTTCCATGTGAAACTCTTAAGTGTTTTCTCTTTAACGTGTACATTTTTTTCTTTGAATGGGAGACTTGAATTAGAAACAAATTCAGAAGATAATTGTAACTGCTGTTTTCCTGATATGAGTTAGTGAAATTAGAACAACTTTACACTGGTGGCTGCCTCCCCTGATTTAATGCTGCTGCTCACACCAGTGGGAATGGTCTCATGGAGTCTTTTAGTTATAATAAAAATCTACTTGAAATTGCTTTGAACTTTTTTTTTCCAAAGCCTTAGGTAACCCCCAAAATGAATGTCAATATGTTCTGAATGCCACATCATTTCAGCATAATGATGCTATTAATGGATTTGGAAATAGCTGAGTGTTTCTGCTCTGGATGTTTCAGCATCTCTAGTCTTAGCTTCCAGTTTTAGTGCATGAGCAGGTTCTTTAAAAAGGAAATTTAATCCAAAGACAAATTACCAAATGTTGTTAGGTAACTGGTGAGAAATGAATCGGTAGCTTTCAACCAGTTTCTAATATCTGAGCCTTGTTCCCACACACTGGAAATCTCTGCTGAGTCTGGCTGTGGGATGGGCCTGAGAACCAGGGGAAAGGTATTGACAGGTAAACTTGGAGCGTCCTGGGAGGGTGCAAACATCAAAAGCTTTCAGTCCTAAGATCTCAACTCAGCATCTTTCAGAGGTCAAAACTCGCTTTGAGAAGGAAGCAGGAGGCACTGCTGAATAGCTGTAGTGAGAGCACTTTCATGGAGGTTGCCTGTCAAATTAAGGTCTTTTCCTCTTGGATGAAAACAATTGTGTGAGCTGTTTCAACAGAGCTTGTGGAGGATTGATAGCTACCCTGTCTCTTACCCAAATCTGATAAACCTCACTAAGCCTATCCACTGATACTCTGTTAACATTCCCATTTCTTCCCTGGTTAGAATCCTCCTTTCTCTGTCTCCTCTTATCTCAGCAGCACACAGTATCCTGACCACTTCAGACCTCTTCTTCTCTTTGTTTTGTTAATTTAATCTCTGCACTCAGGTTTTTATTCTCATTTTATAAGAAGCTTCAGCACTGCCTGTCACCCTCAGCCCCTTGGAGCACAGCACCCTGTCACAGAGGCTGCACTCCTCACAGAGCTGACCAACTTGTCTATAAATAACAACATCTTGCTGGATAAATGTTTGGAAGGAGATTTATTTGTGCTCAGAGTAATTTCTGTGGTGAGAGCCTGCATGTGCAATAAACAAGTGGATGATGACTTGAAGATGATGTGAGTGAGAGCATCCAGACGAAAAAACCCTAAGCTCTTTCTAAATTCATGTTAATAAAGCTATTACTACAACCTCATGTGACACTTCAGAAATATTTTAACTGTGTATACTCTTGCTTTTTGATAGGAATAACTGTCTCTTGGATTTATAATGCTTCATGAGGACTCAGTATGGAATTTATGAACCTCATTTATGCCTGCATTTCTGCATTGGTAGTTTGTACCAGTAACAAGATTGTGCTGGTAGCCAGGAGCAAAGCTTGGTTGTGCTGAGGCTGTGCAAGAACCTGTCCCTGTGTCAGAATGTTCACAGCCCAAGTTTAGGGAGGTTCTCCTGAAGGAGGGGCAGTAATGATTATGGTATAGAATCATCCAAAACTGTAGGAACAGTGTAGGTGTATTATGGTTCCTCCTCCTCCAGCAATTTCCTTTCCAGCTACTGCTCTGAACCTTGTAATTCTTGATTTTTCCTCTAAGAATGATATCATTGCTTTTTTAATCCAAGTGAAATGTATCCAGTGCAGACACTGGCACAGCCAGCTGGGGGAAGAAAGCAGCTGCTCAAAGACTTGGGGACAAAAGTAGGGAATCTGAACAAGGAGACAAAATGGTGCAATTTGCCCTGTGGAAGAACTTGTCAAGGAAGCAATGGAAACTGCAAAATTCTTTCACCTGCAATGGATAAAGCACCAGTGATCAGGGATGCAGATTTGTGTCTGCACAGGCTGTAGTTGCACTGGAGATTAATTGCAGGTATTAATCCTTTCACATAGGTAGTTAAGTGCCCATCTGCCTAAATAATTGACTTCCAACAGACAGGCTTTAAGAACACTACTGACTTCCAGTGCACAAACAATGTTTGAAAATGCAAATATCTGCCTTTTTAAAATAAGACTATGTAAAAAGAAAAATCTTATTTTTCAGTTTTTGGAGCAGAAGTAATTTGACTCTTCACAATACCAGGTGTGTTGTAGTCATAGGTCAGGGTTAGCAGTCTTGAATTTGCTGGCTTGGAGGTGCTGGCAGCCTCCTTATTTCCCTGGTGAAGGTTTTCTGCTCCCAGTGCACCCAACCTTTGTCACAATGGATTGGACAAGCTTAGGAATGTGTTTACTGAGACTAAAAGAGAAATTAAATTTGAGAGGCTGTAATTAAAGCAACACAACCCAGGGTCCGTCTGGACTTGGCTAACTACTGCAGAACTTGTTAAATCTCTGCTGAGAGAGGCACTAAGCAGTGCTTTGTCAGCTGCTCAGGAATACAGAGAGCACTTGAGAGTGGCTTTAGAAGAGAAGAGCTGCCATCCTGGACCAGCTGAAATGGCACTGAACCCCTTTAATGCACACATGTTCCTCCTGAGAGACTGGGATGATCACAGAGAACAAGGCTCTGGCCCCATCTCTTCTGGCTGTGTCACTGGTTCTCACCTGAACCACTGCTTGCCCTCAATATGGAAATTGTATCTTGCAGATGAGGAGTTGGAAGTGCACCATTTTCTCCTTTCCCAACAGTTCAGATGCAGTGAAATGATGTATTCATTGATACATTGATAGCAGAATAAACTATTTATCCATACCATGTTTTATTCTGCTAAACTATAGCACAGAGATAGTGATCATGGGGAACTTTTGCAGGCAGTGGACATATTCCTACTGACCTTGTGCAGTTGGCTGAGGTGAGAGTCAGGAATTCCTGCAGGAGTCTCATGCCATTGACAACTCCATTACCCAGAGCATCTTTTTTGGACCCTGGTCTTCAGACTTTTCATTGCTGACCTTGTATCTCAGAATTAGTTCTAGATTTTCAGCCTTATAATATGATGATATGCCAGATTAAAAGTGAACAAACTGGATAAAGGTTTTTTAAATTTGTAAGGGAAACCACAGCAAGCATGTGTGTGCTCAGCTGTAACCCTGTGGCCTTGCCATGGCAGCTCACGGGCTTTCCTGTATATATAGATCATTAACAGGATCCTCAGGTGCTGAACTTCCCACTTTTCCTGGCACAGCTCCAGGCTCAGGTGTTACTCTCCATAAAAAGCAGCAGCCCCTCCAAGTGAGGGGTTCAAATGCAGAAAACTTTGAGTCATCTCTTGCCAGTGCCCTGGTTAACAGCCCTCAGGTCATGAGAACCATGGGCTGAAGGCAGAATTTAAAGCAGGCTAAAGCTGTTCATCCCTTCAGCAGATCCACCTGGAGATGAACCAGCTGAAGGAGGGAAATTGCAAAGCTGATTTAAAGCCACCTTCCCCCTAAGTGCTCCTGCACTTATGCTCACATGAAGTGATAGAAAGTGACCTTTCTATTGACAGTTCAATTGTTTTATCATCTTTTATCATTGTCCTGTAACTATAAAGAGCATCATGTTGTCCCAGCACTGTTTTCTTCCTTGTGCATTAAAAGGCACCTGTATTCTCATGAGTCGCACTTCCAGTGCTCCCCACTGGGATTTGACCATACTGATCCAGTCCATTCCAGATCTCCACTGATCATACTGAGACCTTCTAACTTGGTGATAATGTAGCACTGATTT